GGCAAATTTTAACACAATAGTACCCAGAGTTACAGAGGATGAGAAAGCAAGTACCGTCTATCATGCCTGTCACTGTCAGTGGAAACTGAATACATCTGAAAGTTCCAAAGGGTGCTCTGGCACTCTTAAAAACATGCAATGTGTCATAGGCCTCAGGACATATGCAACAATTCATCTTCTCCTCTCCTTCCTGGGCCTACAGCTATAATATGACCCCCGAGTCAGTTGTGCTCAGGTGACTCCCTAAAGTCAAGTGTGGTCAGGTGACTAAGGCCTAGTTAATGGCAAGGCAGTGAAGCGATGCTTTCCACACCTCAGCCAGACTCATTACCACCTCCCAAGTGAACTGCTCCCTCCTTTACCCATCTCCCCTTGCAGCTGTACCAGAAGAGCACTGCAGATCAATCTTGAAACCCAAGCATTGAAGACAGAAGTGTTCATGGGGTCCAAAACACTGTAGCACAGGCAGACCACCCAGCTAGAATATTTACCCACCACTCATGAGCAAGGATTCACATTTTTGTTTAAGCCTCTGGTTGCTCTATTTGGTCTGTACATCCCAGCAATTAGTTGAAGCTGATTAACACCTTTACATGCACTAACCATCATTTCACTAGCATGAATTCTTCTAAGTCAAGACATGTCCTTGTGCTAATCTAATAACAAACTAGCCCACACTGGGGGGTGACCAAATAACTGATGATATGTCCATACAATAGAGGAACATGCAGTGTTCAAGACAGTAGTAAAAATATTTTAAAACTTCAAATCAGAAGATCTCTAAATCCAATTGTCAAATGGGAAAGAGCAAATTACAAAACAGGGTACATAGTAATATATACATGTGTGCATACACACCTTCCTTTATCTAGAATAGCCAAGAATAAGAGAATGTACCTTTCATACCTGCCTATATTATTTGGAATTTTTCCACCGGCATGTAATCATATAACTGACTGTATGATGAAAAATGAATAAAATTAATCAGATTGATATTTTTCAGTAACCAACTAGATTACAGACATCAGGGTTAGGAAACCTACAAAAGAGTAAAACTTAAAAGAAGGATCCAGGGGCTGGAGAGATGGCTCAGCAGTTAAGAACACTGGTTGTTCTTACAGAAGACTTAGGTTCGAATCCCAGCACCACATGGCAGCTAACAACTGTCCATACTCCAGTTCCAGGAGATTCAACAGCCTCTTCTATCCTCCGAGGGCATTGCACAACACGGGAGTGCTTACCTACATGCAGGCAATACACTCATACACATAAAATAAAAAATAATAAAAATTTTTTTTTAAAAAAAAGAAGGATCCAAAGCCCTCACTCCAGGCAAGAAGGTCACAGAGGGAACATGGTCATCCTCCTAGCTAGGCACAGGGCCCTACAAAAGATGGCTCTCTAGGTAGCATAAAACCTCAGCTATAGCCCAAGCCCATCACTCAGGAGGCAAAGGCAGGCAGACCTCTGTGAGATTGAGGCCAGCCTAGTCTACATAGTGAGTTCCAGCCCAGCTCGGGCTACAGGGAGACCCCATCTAAAAGAGACTGAAAAAACAAAAACAAAAAGTCTCAGCTATAAAATAGTCCTAAAGGCAGAACTCAGTGCCAACTCCTTTGATAGTTGGTGAGTATGGAGCGACAGGCATTGAAATTCCAAAGATTGGGCCTGGAGAGATGGCTCAGCAGTTAAGAGCACTGGCTGCTCTTGCAAATGACCCAGGTTCGATTCCCAGCACCCACATGGTGGCTAACAACCATCCATATCTCCAGTTTCAGGGAACTCTGACCCCTTCTTCTGACCTCCGTGGACATTGCACAAACATAGGTACACCTATCTACATGTAGGCAATACAATCATACACATAAAATAAAAATAATAAATATGCCAGGCATGGTGGTGTACACTTTTAATCTCAGCACTTGGGAAGCAGAGGCAGGCAGACCTCTGTGAATTCAAGGCCAGCCTGGTCTACATAGCAAGTTCCAGGCCAGCTGAGGCTACAGGGAGACGCTGTCTCAAAATATATATATATATATCATATATATTTACTGTTATTATTTTTTGGTCTTTTTGAAATAGGGTCTCAAATATATTTATTATTATTATTTTTGGTTTTTTTGAGACAGGGTCTCCCTATAGACCCAGCTGGCCTGGAACTAGCTATGTTGACCAAACTGGCCTCGAACTCACAGAGATCTGCCTGCCTCTGCCTCCCAAATGCTGGAAAAAAATGTTTTTGAGACAGGGTCTCCCTGTAGCCCCATCTGTCCTGGAACTCACTATGTAGACCAGGCTGGCTTTGAACTCACAGAGGTCCACCTGCCTCTGCCTCCTGAGTGCTGGGATTAAAGGCATGCACCACCATGCCCAGCATAAATATATTTTTTTTAATTCCAAAGATTAAAAACAGAAAACTCCCAACAGCTAGAGAAATCCAAATGTGAAGCATGTATGTGAATCCAAACACATAGAGAAATCCAAATGTGAAGCATGTATGTGAATCCAAATACACAGAAAACCCAAATGTGAAGCATGTATGTGAATCCAAACACATAGAGAAACCCAAATGTGAAGCATGCATGCTGAGACTCCAGAGGAAACCAGCTAGAAGTTCCAAGATGCAGCTGCCTTGTTCTCAGCAGGCTTGGCCTTGTTCAGAGCCCTCACCATCCCCTTTGAATGTCAAGCTTCTGCTAGAATGGAGATGGCATCGGCCTTTCACAGAACAAGGTCATTCTTAGTTTAGATTTAGCCATAGAGCTGACCATTTCCCAAACGTGGAATTGTGCATGTGCATGAAATAAGGATTCTCATAAATATAAAGGAAAATTTTAGTGGTGGCCTATTTCCAGGAAGGGGTGGGGCACATGTTCGTGTGGGCATATGCACATGTGTGGGCAGGTGAGTACACATGTACACATATGTGGGGGCCAAAGGTCAACATCCAGTGTCTTCCTCTGTCACGTTCCACCTCATTTTTGGAGACAGGGTCTCTCCTTGGACCTAGAGCTCCCTAATTCCACTAGGCTGCCTAGCCAGCAAGCAGCAGGGAATCTCTGCTCGGCTCTGCCTCTCCATCACTGGGGCTTCAGATCTGTGCCACAACCTGACTCTTTACTTGGGTGCTGGGGATCCAAACTCGGGTCCTCATGTTGCTTGGCAAGCACTTTACCAACTGTGCCATCTCCCCAGCCCCCTTCCTTTAAATTTGAATCTCTTCCCAACACACCTCCCCCTCTAGCCTGGTTCCTGGAAATCTGTTGATAATGTACCTACTGCCATATTTGATTGACCTCTACTGTAGAAAAGAGATGTGCATTAAACAGTCAGGATTAATGACTTCAAACACTTGGGCCTCCCTGAATGAACTCATTAACCAGTAACCAGCTAGCTGTGCAGGCTCCCTGGCAGTCAAATGGTATTGATTTTATGCTGATTCCTTGAAACTTCAATCATTATTTTTCTCATCTTCTGTCAATTGAAGGGGTGGGGTGTGTGTGGAATTGAGTTGAGAGAGTTAAGAAATTACCTTGAGCCTAAAAGCACAGGTACCCTGAACATGTCAGAGTAAACAAGGAGAGGGTATGACAGAGTGTTTAACTGGGGATGGGTTATCACACTGGCTGCTTTTGCAGAGGACCCTCTCGGGTTCCATTTGCAACACCCACGTGGCAGCTAAAAACTGTCTGTATCTCCAGTTCCTGGAGATCTGACACCCTCTTCTGGGCCCACCATGCACTTATATATGTGCGGGCAAAATGCTCATACACATAAAATTTTTTCAATTAAAATTTTTTTTGAATTAAAAGAAAGAGACTGAAGGCATGAATGTTGTATAGTTGTCTGTCCTCTGCCTGAGCTCACAATCTTGGATTCCATCTTACTCGGGCGACCACTTTTATCCATGTGGCCTGTGATCACCAGTAAATGAAGTGTCTGCTCTCCTTGTAGCCACACTGAGTAGGAACTTTATCAACCTGTCTTCAGGTAAATACTGTGATAATGGAAATCTCTCAGGCCTCATGGAACTCTCAGATGTGCCAGAGGGTTCTGCCCACTGTCACTTTTGTCCAATTTTCTGGGCCTGACGTGACACACAGCAACATGGCAGGTGACGGTCAGGTGGTGGGGAACGTCTTCATGGTGGGCAGGAAACAGAGCAAAGGCCTGAAGGGGATCCATTTCTGGGGATGAAGTAAAGCATCAGGAGGGAGGAAAAGAAACAAGAGAGGGTAATAGAGGAAGAAAGACAAGTATCACATTTTCCTCTATAGATGCAGACATATTTGACAAGAAAGGACAGGGAGACATTTGCAAGGAGGGAGAGGACCAGCAGAGGGGAAAGGGCCACGAGAGGATATGGCAGGGGCAAGTACGAGCAAAGTACAAGGACTTAATGCATGAACACGTCATCAAGAAAACTATTATTCTGTAGATTCCTTTAAAACTAATTTTAACAAGTAATGCACAGACATTAATTTCATTAGAAATTACCAGAAAAACTGCCTCCAAAACTTGAGACACGTGTCCCTTTGGGGCCCATGAAAATGCAGAGACTACCTCTGCTTTTCTATTTCTTTCTCTTTTTTCATTGTTTTTCATTTATTTTCTCCTCTCATTAATCATGTCAATCACTGAATCTTCCCTCCACATATCTCAGAAAGGCCTTAAGTTACCCACAAGTTCCCTTCACTACAGTCATGTGTCAGTTGAAGTCTATCAGGAAGTGTGCCCTGCTTCTCCGGAAGCGGTAAGAGTGTATGCAATATGCACAGACATGCTACTGACTTCCAGTGATTCAGAAAAAGCACTACCAAAATAGAAACACAGAACTGTCCAACACCGCACACAGCACAAGGTGCACGTCACGCTTCCTCAGTTATTTGCATACCAGCCAAAGCTCTTGTCAATTACCTGTGTCTAAAGTATGGACTGCGATGTTTGAAAGAGTTTTATTAATTGATCTCGGCGGTGCATAATGAGCTTAAAGGGCTTACCTGCATGTCCCCGGAGGTGCTGGCTCGAGGCGGACATCAGCTTACAGCACACCATTAACACGTAAGTCAGAATAAGCCAATGGGACAGCAGCACCAACTTAGCATAGACTCTCATCCTGTGGAGAAACAAACCTCTGGTCAATGAGTGTGAAGAAGGCCAGGATCCCCCTCAGACCCCAGCCAGGGTAGCAGAGAAAAGTGGGGCAGAACCTCCAGGGTGACTTCAGACCCCCCCCCACCTCACCCAAGAAAACTGAAAAGCCATCAATCTTCAATTTTCACTGAGCATTAACTTGGTTTTCAATAAATGTCTTTCATAATTAAGTTTCCCAAGTTAACACCACACCTCAGGGAGAAGTCAACTTATGAATCTCTAAGGAACAGCTAAAGCTGCCCTGATAAAGCATGGGGGTCATGTTCTATCAGATCTCAAAACATGGAAAGTATACAATTAAAGCTGGTTTCAAATAAGAGTGCACAGGCTTTCTGCATCTGAAAGAATCTATTTTAAAAATGTGCACAGGCAGCCCAAGAATTTCAGGTTTCTTTGTATATCAAGACCCTCTGCTCTAGAAGATGTGACTCACAGTTCACTACACAAACCTCAAAATTTTGTGGGAAGTAGGAGGCAAGAATAAGTGAATACAAAATAAATTAAGTCAGATATAGGTGCTAACACCTGAAATCCTAGCACTCAACAAACTAAGGCAGAAGGATCGCCATGAGTTCAAGATCACCATTGGTCATATAATGAATCCAAGTCTGCCTGAGCTACAGAGGCGACCCTGTCACCAAAGCCCATAAAGTAGAAGTAAAAATGAATTATCTTGCTGGGTGTGGTGGTATATGACTTTAATGCCAGCACTAGGGAGGGAAGGGCATACAGATCACTGTGAAATAGAGGCCAGCCTAGAATGGTCTACACAGTGAGTTCCAGGCCAGCTGGGGCTACGTATATGAATGGACAATATCAGATTTTTTCTAAGATAATTCAATTCACAATGTAGCTACACACACTATTCTATAACAAAATGAGCAAATAAAAGTGCCATCAGGGGCTAGAGGGATAGCTCATTGGGTAGGAATACTTGCTATGCCAGCATGAGGACATGAGCTGAGATCCCAGCGCCCATGTAAAGAACCTGTAGCCCCAGTGCTGTGGGGGACAGAGACAGGAGGATCCTTGGGGCTTGCTGGACACCAGCCTAGCTCTAGGCTTGGTAAGAGACCCTGTCTCAAGGGAATAAGACAGAGAGTGACAGAGCAGAACACCCAGGATCCTTGAATGACCTCCACGCACACACAGAGGCACAGGCACTCACACATACATGTGCACATATACCACACATACACACACACATATACACACACACACATGCACACACAGGAAAAATACTATCAAAAATGCTTTATTCTTAGCTCTTAATTTTATGACTTTGTAAATATTATAAGGAATATTTAAATATTAATCTTTTTTAAGGATTTACTTTTTATTGTGTGTATGTGTGTGTGTGTGTGTGTGTTCACCACATATGTATGGGTGCCCCAGAGACCAGAAAAGGGTGTCAGATCCCCTGAAGCTAGAGTTGGTTGTGAGCTGTCTGACATGGATGTTGGGAACTGAACTTGGGTACTCTGCAAGAGCATCTCTCTAGCCCCTCAATTTACTATTAAAGCAAAAGTCAAAACATGTGACATTTGAAACCCTAATGAGACTAGATTCTACTTGGCTTATACATGTCTTATAGTGTCTATCATCACCACAAAGGACAAGGAACCCTTCTTTTGTACTCAATCTTGCCTTAGTACTCTCTGGGGATTGGTTCTAGGATTTCTAAGATGTTCAAACCTGTGAATGCTTAAGTCCTTCTATTAAAAAAAGTGCAGCATTAGCCTACAGCACACACATCTCTTGTGTAACCACACACCTCCTGTACAACCACACACCTTCTACATACTTTTTTAAAAAATCTCTAGATTACTCATGATTTCTAGAACAATATAAATTAAACTACAGAAATAGCTGTTCTTCTATACTGCTTGGAAAATAATTATTTTTAAAAGTGTGTATGCAATTTTTTCAAATATCTTTGATCTGCAATTGATCCAATCCAAGAATGCAGAGTCCACAGATACAGCAGGCCAACAATATGCAAAATATAAAAACACTCACTGGCAGACCTAGAAACCTGGCAGATGGGCTGGGTCACTATTTAGGTGACACTTTAGGAGAGGCTAAAGAAAATCCCTTAAGGAAGCCAGCTGCAAGCCCATCCAGAGTGCCTCTACCAAAGCTGATATTCCATGTTTGGGGACAGCCACACTGCAGCCTCAGGGGACCCAGCAACCACATCCCTCCTCCAGGCACAGGTTCGGCCCCAGCCCTCTCCCTCAGCCTATCCTAATCTAGTCAGATAGATCTTTTTTATTTATTATTTTTATTTTTATGTGTATGAGTGTATCGCCTGCATGTGTGTGCACCCGTGCCATGCAGGGCCCACAGAGGTCAGAAGGGTGTGTCAGATCCCCTGGAACTGGAGTTACAGATGAGTGTTAGCCTCCATGTGGGTGGTGGGAATTAAACCCAGGTCCCCTGCAAGAGCAGCCAGTGCTCTTAACCACTGAGCCATTTCTCCAGCCCCCAATACATCTTCTTAAAGAGATAGCATACTACCACTGATCTATGACTGGGTCTGCCTTCGAAGCAGCCAGGCCAGCAGGAGATTCTATGATCATTTTTGAAGACATCTAAGTTAAAGGTGGAGCAAAGCACTAGCTTCTTCTTGCCCTTTTAAACTATCTGAAAGCCCTTTTGAGCTGCTAAATTTGGTGATTTGTTCTACAGCACAGAACTAATATTCCACTCGACCACTATGTTCAGCTGTTCTCTGCTTGAATAAGCAATTGCCACAGATAGAAGTCAAGACACTTGATCCCGCCTGCATATTTGGCATGCACTAATCTTAAAACAAGTTGGTTGCCCACATATAACGTGCAGATTACAGATCAGAATCCAGGTTCTTTAAAAATTACTTCTGGCACCTCTCCAGCCCCCAATACATCTTCTTAAAGAGATAGCATACTACCACTGATCTATGACTGGGTCTGCCTTCGAAGCAGCCAGGCCAGCAGGAGATTCTATGATCATTTTTGAAGACATCTAAGTTAAAGGTGGAGCAAAGCACTAGCTTCTTCTTGCCCTTTTAAGCTATCTGAAAACCCTTTTGAGCTGCTAAATTTGGTGATTTGTTCTACAGCACAGAACTAATATTCCACTCGACCGCTATGTTCAGCTGTTCTCTGCTTGAATAAGCAATTGCCACAGATAGAAGTCAAGACACTTGATCCCGCCTGCATATTTGGCATGCACTAATCTTAAAACAAGTTGGTTGCCCACATATAACGTGCAGATTACAGGTCAGAATCCAGGTTCTTTAAAAATTACTTCTGGCACCCCTAGGCTCCTATTTCTGCAGTACAGGGTGGGTAAACTTGTCTCTATGCTCCCCACCACGTGCCAATGCACAAGGCTCTGTCAGCCCAACTTGTAGCCCTCTCCATTTTTTACCTTTGAGTGAAAGGAAAAATCTTTTGTAACAATTAGATCAATAACTGATTTGGAGGTTAGAAATTGGAATTTTATAGCACTATATAAAAAATAGGATATTCCATTAAAAAGTAATCAAGAGACTAGGGATGTGGCTCAGTTACTAAAGTGCTTGTGTAGCATCACAAAGTTCATTTTCTAGCACTGCATAAAACCAGTCTCTATGATACATGCCTATAATTCAAGCACTCAGGAGGTAAAGGAAGGAAGATCAGAAATTCAAGCTTATCCTCAGCTATATGATGAGTCCCAGATCAGTCTAGCCTCCAAAATATTCTGATCTCATTAGATAGATAGATGGTATATAGATGGAAGATAGATAGATGATAGATAGATAGATAGATAGATAGAGATAGATAGATGATAGATAGATGATAGATAGATAGATAGATAGATAGATAGATAGATAGATAGATAGATAGATAGATGAATGATGGGATAGTGTATGAAGAAATATGAAATTGTTTCCCTTAAATTATATAATTGGTAAATTAACATTTTAAATTGGTATAGGTCCACATGATGTTTCTCTGTGGCCTTTCAAACTGTTCTAGGGCCTCTGTCCCCTCTATGCGTGTGCACTGAACTGGGAGATGGAAGATGTACTTTCACATAGGCCCTTCAGAACTGAGTGGGGGAAGTTTCCATGCAAAGTGAGAACACTGGGGACTTCTGATGCAGATGGCCAAACTAGCAGTTGACAATAATACAAAAATATTATCTCCATTTTTGAGAGTTAGGAATCTGCCAAGTTCTTGTGAAGTCTCCTGCCCTTTGGGGAATCAGCTGAAAGTCTGGGCACTTGGTCCACAAGGCTAGAGTCCTGAGTTCAATCCCCCACCACCACTGGACCAGGAAAAGGAGGAAAACAAAAGGGTCGGCTTGGGTGTGTCCTCACCTAGAGGTTCAATTTGAAAAAGATCAAGTCAAAAGGTCATTGGGTTATTTGAAAACAGTATGTTCTTGAGGCTCTGTAACTGAGGTCACCATGTTCTTACCACTGACCAGGAACTCTCATAGCCTCTAGAGGCTACACCACATCTTTGATGCATGTACCCTCCAAATACTGTCATTAAACTGCTCTTCCAGGAAAGGCCCAGTCCCATCTTAGGGTTAACCCAAATAATTCAGGTGAACTGAGGACAAGCTTACACTAATAATTTAAAAGTCAGTTTATCTAAATCCTTAATTATAACTGTAAAACACCTTCATCTTTGCCCAGTAACTGGAATCTACCCAAGGAAGTGAACTTCTTGGTAACCATGGTCCCTCCCACATTCAAGGGGAGGTTGCTAGTGCTAGGCTTCTGGCCAGCTTCTTTGATCACGCTCCTCTGCTCCACATCATCTGGAATAGGTTCTATTCTCCTGGTTGACTCCAAACAAAAAGCTCCCCAAATCAGAAAAACTCAAAATCCTCAGCCAATTTTTTTTTTTTTTAATCTTTTTGAGGCAGGGTCTCCCTGTAGCCCCAGCTGGCCCATGGCCTCTTCTGGCCTCCATGGGCATTGCATGGCATAGGTGCACTCATATGCATGCAATGAATACATTCATACACACACATAAAATAACTCACTATGTAGACCAAGCTAGCCTTGAACTCACAGTGATCCACCTGCCTCTGCCTCCTGAGTGCTGGGATTAAAGGCGTTCACCACCACACCCAGCATCTCAGCCAACTTCTTATAGGAACAATTCTAGCTACCAGTTTCTGGGGTGAGTAATAAGTACTCTGTTCCTAAAATAAGTATTTGCTTAACAACAGCTATGATTTCCCCCAAGAAATATCAAGATGAGAAGGTACGAGCAGACCAGGGAGCTATTCAGATATAGTCCCATGTCTCCTTAACTTCTACCCGTGGAAAATGCCAAAGCACTTTACAAACTGAAATGATTTCATTTCAAAGCAAAAAGAATGTATTTTTTTGCAAAGACTTTCAGAAAATTTCACCAACACTTGGCTACTTGGTGTCTATTCAAACCATTTTAACCATTTTACCTTGGAGACTTCATAAGATGTGGCTTCAGTCAGACAGAATTATTCCAGAATGTACTCCAGAGTGGCTCTAAGTGCCCCTTTGCAGCTGGGAACGACCATTTCTGCAGCTCCCCAAACTACTTTAGCTTAGAAGATCTATCTTTAAAGAAGGCAAAAAGAAGAAAGATATGAATCAATTATCATTCTAATATTGAAATGAAATGGATTTCCAGTAGCAAAATAATACTTTCTGCCATGATGCCTGTAGCTTCAGGCTAGTCACAGAAGCTGGCAGTTCCCTATCAGTGAAGTGTCCTAAAACTGGGGATGGCATGGAGAATTCTGAAGTCATATTAGTTAAGAAAGTATAGACGATTTTCTGTTTATGTGTGTGTATGTGACTGTTGGTGTGCATATATGTATACAGATGTGCATACATGTATGTGCAGAGGCCAGAGGACAACTTCAATCACGTGTTATTCCTCACATGTCATTCACTAGCAAACTCCGGGGATCTACCTGGTCCCACCTCCCCAAAATTGTGAGGACAAACACCATGCCACCACACTCACTTTTCTTTCTTTTTTTTTTTTCTTTGAGATGGGGACTCCTTGTAGCCCCAGCTGCCCTGGAATTCACTATGTAAACCAGATTGGCCTTACTTTCACAGAGATCCACCTGCCTCTGCCTCCAGGGTGCTGGGATTAAAGGCATGCACCACCATGCTCATTTTTAACATTTTTATTTTTTTAACATTGGTTCTGGGCATCTATTCCAGGTCCTTGTCTACAACCTGATCTCTACCTCCTCCACCTAACACAATAGTGATTTTTAAAAAGAAGTGATCTGGAGCTGGAGAGATGGCTCAACAGTTAAGAGTACTGATTGCTCTTCCAGAGGACCTGGGTTTGATTCCCAGCACCTGCATGTAACCATCTATAACTCCAATTCCAGAGGATCTGATGCCCTCTGTTGACCTCCATGGGCATTGCATGGTACAGGTACACTAATATGCATGCAGGCAATACACTCATACACACAAAATAAAATTAATGAATCTTTTTTAAAAAAGAAGTGTTCTCAGTAGCACAACCGTTCATGGTTTGAAAGCCCAAAACCATTTACGACGCACAGTTTTACTCTCCTTGCTTCATTTACCACTCTATAAAACAGAAATCTGAGATAATTAATTCCCAAAGGTTAGGAAATTTGCCAGTGCCCACAGAACAGTGGACAGCCATGTCCAAAGACCTGAATCCCTAGATTTTGGTGACTGACACCTGAGGATGATGTTAAACCATCTTCAAGGTTCCTTTTTGAAAGCATTTAATGGGAGGGAGAAAAAAGTCTTTCCAACATAATTCACTTAACCAAAATATAAAGAATATTTGTGAATACATAACTAACACTCAACATCCTCCCAAAATGCACCATAGGAACTTTTTCAACCTATTGAAATCATTTTAGAAGAATTTAATGATTCCAAGGGCCAGAGAAAATCTCCATGGTGAAGTGCGTGCTGGGCATGCATTAGGCTCTGGGTCCAATACCCAGCACTGCATAAAATAAAAATGGAACCTGTAATACATCACCTTCCACACTGCTGAGTGAAATACTTCTCTCTCAGGGGTGCAGACCAAAGAAAAATAATCACCTGCACTAATAAACACTGATATTTAATAAATCTGATATTACAAATATCAAAATGACTTTCAAAATACCATCTTGTTGCTTTAGAATCCTCATAAACCGATTACAAATCCACCACCAGGCCCAAATGAGATACCTCTCTTCTTCAGCTATCTCAACAATAACCCCCACAGTTGACTGGGGAACCCTTTAGGTGATACACTTCAAGACCCATTCCTTTGGGAGCTACAGGAGACAAAGAGTATGCCCAGAAGAATTCATTCACAAGAGAGAAATGGCTTTAAAGAGCTGCATAGATGAGTTACTCGGGGGAAAAAACAACTTTAAAATGTTCATATCCCAGGTCCTCCAAATTTCTGAATTATCTATGTCCTCATGTCCACCCAAGGGCATGACATGACCTTCTGCTATGGGAAGGAACTATTTCTCAAATAATCTATCAGAGCCTATCACAATGAACTCCCCGCATACTGGAAACAAAAATGACCTTTCCTAGCTAATATTTATCTTGTTTTTTTCACATAAAAGGAACCACTGATTGTTTCTTTTTTGACTCACTAAAAAAATGCATCCATCAGTAAAGAGAAATGCAATCTAATAGCTTATATGGGACTATGAGTTTAATTTTATTCATTCATTCAGATTTTCCCAAAATGCACCTTGGGCATTTGCTAAAAAAGGATTAACTCTTCCTGGTCAATTTAAATCTTAGAATTCCAGACCCCCAGAGTATATGACACCCAGAGCAGTCACTAAGGAACATTTTATTTCTCTCAACACTTATCAACTACAATACAGTTCTTTCTTTGAGATGGTATCTCATGTAACCTAGGCTGGCCTTTAATTCACTGTGGAGCTAAGGAAGACCTTCCATTTCTAATCCTCCTGCCTCCACCTTTTCAGTACTGAAATTATAAACATGCACCATCACACCCAGTCAACTGAGCTACATCCCTGCTAACCTTGCTATAGCACTTAGTTTCAAAACTCATTTATTTTTTTAAAGACTTCAGAATTCTCAAAGATAAAATACACTATCTACATCTACACTAAAAAAAATTTTAATGTTTTAAGAAATGTGTCTGGTCATTCTCAGAATGAACTAAAAGGATACAGAAAGCATCTGGATGCTGGGCTGTGCTTTTCATCTCTCACCTGATAGGGTGACATTATACACAACAAGTCTCTTTTCCACTACAACAGAGGAGAACTTTGAGGTTCCCAGGCAGAAGAGATGATTCTTCAGATGTTTAATTTATTTCTGTGTTACAGAGCATAGAATGCTGCTTGCCCTTGATTTCTTATCAAGGAAATGGAGAGGCTGTGCCTTTCCCTTCTCTTGATCTACCCACCTTCCCTGTTAGTGGGGTGAGATCCCAGGAGAATGATTCTTTCGGAATACAATCACTTGCGAGCACCTCTCTGCCATCTCTGCCACACCTCCTCCTACTCATACACATCAATCCCAATAATGTTATGATTTTGTTCATTCTAAAAACCTACCATGATAAAAAGTATTAATTTCAAGGCTGGGTGTGGTGGCACATGCCTTTAATCCCAGCACTTGGGAGGCAGAGGCAGGCAGGTCTTTGTGAGTTCAAGGCCAGTCTGATCTACATAGTGAGTTCCAGGACAGCTGGGACTACAAGGAGATCCTGTCTCAAAAAGACAAAAGAAAAAGTATTAATTTCTTTTTAATTTTGTTGTTGCTTTTTGTTTTGTTGTGTCGAGACATGGTCTCACTCTATAGCACTAGGTAGCCTAGAGCTGGCTCTATAGACCAGGCTGGCCTTGAACTCACAGAGATCTGCCTTCCTCTGCCTCTCAGGTACTAGGATTAAAGGAGTGAACCACCAGGCCCAGCCCTCAGCTCTTTTTAAATGGGCAGAATGGTCTGAAACCTATATCTGATTTGGAAGAAAACTCAGACCAACTCCTATACTAGAGACATTTTTTTAAATAATTTCCTTATTATTTTTATTTTATGTGTATGTGTGTATTGCCTGCGTGTAGGTAAGTGCACCCATGTCGTGCAATGCCCGTGGAGGACAGAAGAGGCTGTCGGATCCCCTGGAACTGGAGTTACGGACAGTTGTTAGCTGCCATGTGGGTGCTGGGATTCGAACCTGGGTCTTCTGCAAGAACAGCCAGTTTTCTTAACTGCTGAGCCATCTCTCCAGCCCCTATACTAGAGACATTTTACAACATAACTGCTCTGTTTTTCTTTAAAAGTCTCTAGGTCATAAAATACCAACTTTCCACCATCCAAAGAAAGAATAAGATTATTCCAAATAAAGAGGAAGACGCAGCAACACATCTGATCTTAAACAAGGAGAGATGAATGCCTGGCCACCCCGGAGTGAATGGTGCACACAGAGCCACAAATGGGATTACTACAACAATCACTGATATCCAAAAAAAAACATGAGCTAAAGTGCAGTGCCAAATAAACAGTCCAAATCCTGACTTTGAGTGTCGCTATTGCAGTTGAGAACATGTCCTTCTTATTGAAAAACTCTGAAATACTAAGAGGAAAGAAGCCAGTGTCTCTAACTCATTTCAAATGATTCCCAGGAAAATAGGAAAAAGGAAGGAAGATGGAAGGGGGGGTGTTTAGGATGAAGGGGGGACTGAGGGAGATGGGAAGGAGGGAAGAGTGAGTGCTTGAGTGAGTGAATGAATGAACAAATGCAAGGTGACTGGTAAATAGATAGTAGGTGGGAACCCTTTGTTCTGTTCTTCCAATTTTCCATTGTCAAAAGTTACATCAAATTCAGTTACATCATATTCATTTAAAAAGGCATCAGTTTATTAGATAAACTAAAAATGACTGACATCCCTGATTACTAACCAATGAGAGTTGACAATTTGAACATCATAGTTAATTCAACTCAGCAAACAAAGAGGAGGCCTATTTGTTTTATTTTAAAATCTCTTACTAAGCCAGGAGGCAGTTCAGCAGGTAAAGATGCTTGCTGCCATGCCTGACAACCTGAATTTGATCCCTGGGATCCACACACCATGGAAGGGGAAACCCAACTTCAGCAAAGCAAGTTGTCCTCTGACCTCCATGTATATGCTGTACAAGCACACACACAAAATAATAAATAAATAAATGTAATATTGTTAAATAAATAAATTCTTACTCTTGAAAGACATGGTGAAAAATTCCTATAGTCCAAGCCTGAGGAAATGAGGTAGGAAAATCAGGAGTTCAAGGTAATCTTCACCTACATAATGAGCTCCAGACCAGCCTGAGCTACATGAGATCTTACCTCCCCTGCCTCAAAAAAAAAAAAAAAACCAGACAGAATCTTATACACAGCAGCACTATATGCCAAGCACTCAAACATTGCATTAGCCATTTTAAAACCTTAACTCATACTGGGTATGGTGTACT